CGGAGCCCAAAAAGCTACATCCTCTACTTATTTTGATAAAGGTACGGTGGCAGAGGATTGAATACGCATTATGACAGATTCTTGCCCGAGGGTACCTACCACTCTTGGGTGTCGAATGGGGGTGATCGGCCATGGATAGTGCTGGATTTGAGTTGTGGTAGGTGGTGATGTACCCAAGCGGTCAGATCGACGGCCCAGTGATATATAGATTGATAGACCGGGCCCGATCACAGGCCATATCTGACCGGACTGACCGCTTGGGAACACTGGATGTGCCACCCATCTACATCGTTATAAACTAACCTCTTTAACTTAATTAGAAATGACAAACCCTTTTCATGTCGAGTTTTCAAGTAATTATGATAGTATCACTGTAGCCCGCGCGGCCGACTTACAAATTGTCGAGAGGTTGTACAATCAGCATCCACGACGACCCAACCTCATTATGGCTGACAAAAGCGCGCTCAGACACCACAGTTACAACCCTCCAGTGCCAAAGCGCAGCATTACAAGGAAACAGGTATCTCTGTTTTCCTTTGATAAATGAAGGAACTTATCACTTCTGTGGATATCGATGATCCTGCGAAGGGAGTCGAGGAAATACGGACAGTCTGGAATTATCAGCGCGGTTGACTCGGAACCGCGGAGGAAGCAGTGAAATGAAAAGGTAAGCATTCACTATCTGTTCCCTTTTTCTTGACGCTGCTTCCCATGCTAACTAACTGGTAGTCTGATGGTATCCAAGCATCATCAATCAAAGACGTCGAGACGGCTGTGAAGCTATACAACTTAGATTACAACGCCGACTTAGAAGAGTATGATTGGGAAATCCCATTGAACCAACTAAAAATTGTTGTTGCAGATAGGTTAGGTAAGGGCAGATCTCGACCTGAGTCCCTATCAGAGCTGACTTTAATTTAGTTATTGTGCTAAAGCTGCTTCGAAGCTCGCTATTCTGACATTTGGAGTCGTTCGAGGTTCACCACCGCACGTCTATAGATCTTACGCTTTTTGAACGCCCATTGGCGCACCAGACCAAGGTTAAGGCCTGCAGACTGTCTTAAGGCAGAGTAGGCGGCCACCGCCCAATGTTGGGGCGGCAAATATGCTTCTGGAGACATAGATTACTTTTTCAGCTAAGTTATGAGCACACCCAATGCATGGGATATTCCCTGTTCGAGAACAATATAATAGTGGTGGAGGCCAAAAAAAAAAACTACCTTTGTGTCATGGGATACTTATACTGTACCGGGCTTTGTGCTTCATACCCGGAGAATGATTAATACTGGGTAGGCTTACAGTTTCCGAAGATCATACTTGTTGAAAGTGGTTGTTGGTTCACGAGGAATGGACATAGATTGTAGTTTTTGCATGTATTTCAAGTTGTAATTGATTCAGCACAAGTTACCTCCCCCATCGATTACAGCTAGCTGCACTCATACTCTCCTTGATTACGATTACCAAGTCAGAAATCTTTCATACCATACCCTCTTGATTACTGATTACGTATGAAGCACAAAGCCCGGTACAGTACTCCTTTATTACAGCTTTCCCCAGAGCTAGCAGTGAGCTTCAGCATCATCAGATAGCGTTTGGTATCTATAAATATCTTCTCTCAGCCCTAGAAATCTTCAGAGACCATAGATATCTTCCTTGGCGTAGATATCTGTCGCAGTGGGGTGGGCCGGTCGATCTGACCGCATGGAGCCAAGCAGACATTGCAAGCATTGCGTAAGTTTTGCCGTGATGCCGAATAACATAACCCTGTTCCCCAGTCAGTAACATTCGGGCAGAAATCTGAGAAAGAGGCATGCATACATGATAGAGAGCCAGAAGTTCCGACTGCTCGTCGATGCGCCAGTGCGGGCAAAACCTGACCCGACTCTTCGCCTCCGTTGCAAGTCTCCAATGCATGCCTCACCCCCACGAGCTGTTTCCTGAAGCTTCCTACCCTCAGGATTTTGTAGTAAATATCAAAAATTTCCACGGAGATGGTACAATTGGCAAGGGTACCCCCGTGGAACTGTTTGAGTGTATTGTACAGAGCGTGAAGGTTCGTACGTCATGCATCACGCAGGGCCCGTCCGAAGAGATGTTGCGGATTCAGCCCACTCTTGGGCATTCAGTATTGAAAAAAACTGCCACGCTTGAAATCCTGTACGAACCTTGATTCTCGATACAGTATTTCCAGATATGTGCCACCGGACTTGAGCATCACTGAGAGTTCCTCCGGCCATCATCATCATGGGTCGTAGTTGCTTGCTCAAACTGTGTACCTCTTCAATGGCCTGTTCAAATTATTAAAAGCGGATTCGATCGGAATGCGGGAAACTTACATCCAGCATGTCAATGCAGATGCGTACAATAGTTTGGAGCTGCCCACCTTCGTAAACCGCATCGGCGCGGGGGTTGGGGGGATCACCCTCTGCTTTTGAAGCGATGCGTGGGGGCGTTAGAAGAGATTAATGTCTTGGTCAGGAAAGTGATTAAAGTACACGGTACGATAGCGTTACGGTGATAATAGGAGGGTTGGAGGTCAGCAGTGCGGCTCGGAGGTTGAAGCAGAGCAGAGGCGCAGAGGTTTGAATCTGCAAAAAGTGTTGAAGGATTTGAAGATCTCAGTTGGAAATGTCGTCGCTATCGAAACTGCGTAGGTCCATCTTCCACAAACACTCTGAAAGGCTATGTATGTACATGCAGAGCTGACGACAGACCAGTATGAGATGCTTGAAGATAGTTGACAAGGTGCGATCAAAACTGCAGAGTTTAGCTTCGAACCCTTATGGAGATTTGCTGTGCGCTTAGGCAGTGGATGAGAGTCTGAGCCAGCCATAAAGTACTCGCTGATACTCGGTTATGCTAGCACTGTATTGCCACCTCGATTTTGCCTTCTTAATCCTATTTGTTCTAATGTCCGTTGCTGATGCACGCCACTTACTAGTACCGGCGATGAGAATATTTTCTGTCCCTTTCCCGCTTCTTCGCCTTGGGGATATGCTGCTCAAGTTTCGGGTATACCAGGAAGGTTCTAGTCTCCGCACCGTACCTAATGAACATGTGGGATTGTGATGCAATTAGCGCTTCGTATTGCGCTTCGTAGAGAACACGTGGGAAGATGCCGCAATTAGCGCCCAGAAACGTCGACATACAGTATTGCTCCAGCAATACAACAAGCATCCATGAAATTTCTTTTGTTGCATCTTTCTCTGCACCTCGAGGTGAACGGTTTGTATACAATCAAGTGCAGTTTTGTTTGTTTTATTCATACTGTATTCACTCTAGCTAGAGTATGACAGCCCATTTCCCCTGCGCTTCCGGGCAAGCCGGCTAGATGGCGGAAATCCCCCGCCGCTACCACTATTCAAGTGTAGTACTAGTATCTGTTCTTTTCAGATTAATCTCTGAAATGTTACTATATGTGGCTTCTTATATTAATCTTATTTTTGTCCCTCGGGAGCTAGCTGCTGTGCTTGCACATACTGGGGTTCCCACTGTGTCATTGGTATTGTACTGCCTCCAGTTGATGCAAACCTTCTTTCATTGTCGCTTTGACTGCTAGTGAGAGGAAGTTGGGTGTTGGTTCCTATTGTGGCATTAGTATTACACTGCCCTTCGGTTGATGCGACTATGCCCTCTGCTCTATTTTCGTTGTCGATAGTGGGGGATGAGGAAACTTTAGCACGCTTACACCTAAACTGATAGAATGATACTGACCTTTCTTATGCATTGTAATTCCCCCTGAGTCTTCTCGCAGGTGAGGTGATCCAAGACATCTTTCCCCGAAAGCACGTACCTGGCCCGGTACGAGACAAGATAAATTATCCCGGATGTCTTTGGAATAAGTGAGTGATAATGCATGACTCGTTTGGTCTAGGCTAAGCGGACAAATGGTGCCATCAAACAAGCTTAAGCGGCATGACATCTACCATTTAAACACCGGTGAGGAGATGGCCAGAGCATATTGCGATCTTGAGAGATTGTCGAAACTTGCTCTGATCTAATCATTCCCAGTGCTGTAAACACTACAGCTGAGGTTGTAGACTTGAAACCTATCTTTTACTTCTGCCACGTGTCTACCTTTATTAGCAGCGGCTGCTGCTGGGAAAACGTGGAATTGCCATCTGTTGTGTCTTAGAATCGTTACATGGTAATGGTTATATAAGAACCGATTGCCTAGTCTAACTGGCTGAGCATAGTGCTAGAAACACCAAGTACGGCGCTGTAAACGCTGAGTGTGGGTTCGAAACCTGCAGTGCTGTAAACACTACCGTCGTAGGCTCTAAACCTGCAAACATCGATTTTTTACCCCTGTTACGAAGTCGATCTTTTAATACCAGTGGGATGGCTGGCGAGATACCTATAACATTTGTGTACTAAACTAAGTAGTCACCATCCCGCCTCTCTTCCCCGTTGCATGCCTCTCCACCATACTTGAATCATAGAAACACAAACTTCCACATTCCAGTTAGCGGCAGCAAACTACCGATCATCGTCTGTATGCCAGTGACTGGGTATGCAGACGGCGCTTAATGGCGGTAAATATCTTTGACAAGACTTGCAGATGATCCATGGGGCCTGACCGCGCATATGCATGAATCGGAGTTTCATCAAAACCCACCCGACGTCACTTTCCACAGCCACGTATGAGGAACGACCGGCCCCATAAGTGAACTGTAACTTCCAGCTCTTCCGGGAATATCTAGTAATGCTAATCGTCCAGCTGTGGAAGAAAAGGCTGTCTATCTCCTAGTGTGAAGACCGACCACTAGATTCTGATGTTTCTGATGAGCTATGGGGGATCTTATGTATCTAAGAGAGTATCAGTGTTCGGGGTTGAAGGCGATAATCACGAGCGACAGCAAGTAAGTTAGTATGATATGCTCTGGTTGGTCATGACAGATACAGTCACGACTTGTCATTCGACTGCCCTAAAAACCTTCCCTGACTTAATAAATTTCAAATAAGCGTTCATGTATAATTTAATCCTTGACCAGCAAAAAGCCTCGCTAGCACAATCGGTAGAGCGTGAGACTCTTAATCTCAAGGTTGCGGGTTCGACCCCCGCGTGGGGCTAGATTCTTTTGTTTTTCCTTGGAACATTTGCAAGTACTCCACATGAATGGCACTACAATGCGGGCTGGCGTCATCACACGCGGTAGACCATTCGTAGAATCAAGAAAATGGCAACTCATGCAGTGTCCACTAAATACACATCCACCCACCTCAGCAGATATAGGCGCCCGTCTGATGGCGAAAACCGGAACGGACCGCATCGTTCGTGCTTGCAGGAGAACCTTTATCAGTATCTGGGGTCGTTAATTGGTAATAATGTGGATGTTAAGTATAGACGTCACATCCTTCCTCTGGACCTCCGGTAGATAGTTACATCGGTATGGAGGGGAAAAGCGTCTGATTCGGCAATTGAAAGACCAGTTGGTTTTGCGTTTTCCAGCCTAGATACCAGTGACCGAACCTCCGCATTAGGCGCGCATAGCCAGCTGATGCGATAGGCTTCAAACGCTGATGAAAGTCTGTCTTGCACGAGATGGAATTCCTTTTTGGGAATCGCACCTGATACAATTAATCTTAGAATAAATCGTACCTACCAAGGTACGTGCTTCTTTCGCCAAGTACGTATGACATCAGAATCCCCAGCATCATTAGTGGTACCGTGAAGGACAGGTATAAGAAATCTCACTCGCTTTACGTACGCACGCCCCAACAGTCTGCAGGGATACTCTTTAAGAAACTGCTCGTATGATCGATTATAGACTGAGGAGAATGAAAAACCAGGTTTTAACTCCACGTGCTGGTGATAGGTGGGGTACAGTGGGGGTACTACTAACTTTGTCGAAACATGATGCAAGAGCTCCAATCTGGAAGGCGGTTGAGTAGGAAAAGTAAAACCAGCAAATATCAGGTTATTGCCACCGTATCACCAATCGATAACCTATCTGTGGTCGACAAGAGGCTCAGGCTGTGTGATTGGTGGCTGCACATAAAAAAGTTCGTGCAACGACAGTTAGAGTAGTACCTAGTGGGAACGCTGGATGCCGCTTATTGGCGAGGATTAAGGCTTGATGAGTAGTGGGGCCGTAAATTGCAACTGTTGATGATTGCACCGACATCGCTACTCCGGTAACTCTGACTGACTTACGAATGCTGATGCCGGATGTTGGTATCAGTACGCCATGTATAATGGTCAGGGTACTTACATAAATGTCAGGTACAGAAGTCATGGACGCAGGGTGAGGAAGCTAAAAAAAAGTGATATTGTAATCGATATTGTAATCGATATTGTAATCGATATTGCAGCCAACGTGTCGGGGAATTAATGAAACTAACTGATAGAATTCCGACTATAGTGCTGAAGTTTACCGAGTGTGAGTTGTTTGTCCAAGTGCTGATATTGATATGCATGAAGATCTCTATTGATACCTTCCATGTTTCTAGACCGTTCTTTGCAGATGCTAGATGATTGAAAACTTCTGCAGAGTGACCTGTTGATTCGGAGGAACCGAAATGATGTCTAGGAGAGAGGAGAGGTTGGGCTGATGTTTAGACGTTGGCTAGTCAATTAGTTTCGTGGTGGGATCTAAGCCTTTGGCGTCGTGAGGTTGTTGGAACGCGCAGGAGTTGAAATGTGTGAGCGTGACAAACGTGCATAAGTATCAGTGAAAAGGCGCTTCGAAATGGTGAAGGTAGAACATGTATGTCGATGGGGATTGATGAAAATTTTTATGCATTTGGAGGGGTGCATGACGTAAGACAGCACGCTTGTGAGGTAAATCTTTCGGTAACCCCCAACCAACTCGCGTGTTCGAGATTCTAAACCACAGAGCCCGAACAAGATACGTTGGTTGGAAGCCTCGTGATGTTGACACTTGAACAGGCAGAGCAGATGGCATCTCTTCTCACATAAAGAGCGGTATACGAGGGGTGAGTGAGGTAGTTTTACTGGTCGTCATCATGAGATAAGGCGGGTTCACTTACCTCTTCTCCTCAAAGTCCGCCACGAATCGTTCATTTAATTGATCAAGCACCGTAAGCGTCGTCTCGATGCTCGGCTGGAACCAATGGCTTCTGCAGAGCTGCATATAGAGTAGTAGGGAAAGTGCTGCTCAACCATGCAATCCTACACTTTTTTTTTTGGCTTGCGTTATTCTCTCACTGTCCTTCGCCTCTGACAAAGAGCCTCGGACCTCCTCCCGTTGTTCACTTCCTTAACTACCTGTTCATTCCCACCCATTCGTCCCCTCCTCCTTCTTTCGATTCTTCTCTGTTCTCCTCCATTGACCGATTCAGTCGTTTCTGGAATGGTAAGTGTGCTTCACATCAACCCCCGAGGATCAGATTCTCCGTTCGAAAGCTCGGCGACAACTTGATCCAAAACACCAGGATACTGTGCTCTAAACCAGGCGCAGCCCAAAAAGCTTCGCAACTCCTACATCCTTGGTCCCGGGATTTGCCATCTGAATAATTCGAAAAGGCGCCGGACTACCTTTTCTCAGCTCAATCCCTTCCGTCTCTTCTGTGGTGACGCGGGCTCTTCAGAGATATTACAGGTTGGTATATAGCTCTTCCCTGAAGCTGTTTCCACTGCTTCTTGCTCTTCATCTTGAAGCTTTTCGCTAGACACGACCGTCAAACATCAGCGGCGCAGCACAGCAACAAAACTTCCTGAGTTTGGTCTCACGCGACAACGATGACGACAACGGTCGATCCCAACCCAGCACCTCTGGATCACTCCGTCGATACGCCTCCGCTGCTGCTTTACACACGGTACTACTACCCGTTGGCGCTGTTTCTCTTCTTCATTATTTCCCTCACGGCCTGGGGAATTGTTACGTCCGAATCCTCGAAGCCTACACCGCCACCAGTAAATGGTATATACAATAATGGCCGGAGATGGAAGAACGATCGAAAAAATACTTCGGAACGGGGTAGCTTCAAACGGATTGCCGCGAGATTTCCGGGCGGGATACCACGGCAGAAAGCTGCGGATGAGAAGAGGCTGGGTGTGTTCCGGAAAGCTGCCCTGAACTGGTTGCTGGCTGGGGTTCTGCTTACACTCGTCGGGAACGCGGTGAACGTTATCATGCGCGCTTTGACTAACCGTGATTGGTGGTGCGGAAAGGACTATGTGGTATGACAAACTTCTAGATCTTCCGGCCCTATTAGAACTTGCTAGTGTTATGTATTTGAACGTAAATTTGACTGACTGGCGTATTTTGGTGCTAGATCTCGAATGTGGCGCGCTTCTTCATATACGCACTACTCCTCATATCACAGCTCGACAGCCGGTTGAGCCCCACCCTTCCACATCTCCTGACATGGACATTTGGGCTGGTGGGTGAAATGATGTTGCTAGCGGTGGGAATCACGGAATACGAGAAAAGCTTGCAGCGCAAACCTCCGAAGAAACGACACATCAAATGGGGATCATGGGAAATCGCTGACCTTTCAATCGATGTTTTGCGGGCTCTGTTACTGTTGATCTTGATTGGCACCTATATTTTGTTGATCGTCATCCCGCAACCACCCGCCGAAAGAGGCAACACAGAGGAGACCACTGGGTTACTGTCAAGTGGAAGACCTTCTAGCCCCTCTGATGGCGAAACTGACTACGGGTCGATCCCCGCACACCGAAAGCATGGACTTCCGGAGCCATCCGCAAATGCTCCAGCAGGGTGGGGACGAAGAACTGTTGTGGGAAAACAGAGTTGGTGGGAATATTTGAGAGGGTACGCCATATTTTTCCCATACCTGTGGCCTAGCAAGGACCGCCGCCTACAGATTTTAATGATTATCTGTTTTGTGCTGGTGATTTTGCAGCGTGGTGTCAATGTACTTGTGCCAAATCAGCTCGGAACAGTTACAGATATCCTCAGTGGCGAGGATGGCAAAGGTATGTATGATTGCGCCTACGCCTTTTAGTGGCAAAACGCTTATTTTAACTAACTGGATAATGTAGCGCGACTTCCATGGAGTCAAATATTTTTGTACATTTTCTATCGCTTCCTGCAGGGTAATATGGGTGTTCTTGGCGCATTGCGAAGTGCACTTTGGATACCAATTGGACAATACTCCTATCAGGCGTTATCTACGTCGGCTTTTGAACACGTTCATTCACTGTCGTTGGATTTTCATCTTGGCAAGAAAACGGGCGAAGTTCTCAGTGCTCTTAGCAAGGGCAATGCGATCAATAATTTCTTGGAACAGGTCTCGTTCCAGGTCGTGCCAATGCTGGTGGATCTGGCCGTGGCTATTGCATATTTCTTGATTAAATTTGATGCGTATGAAAATCTCAGGATTCAGCTCCTTCCAATGCTGATGTGTTAAACAGATACTATGCCCTGATCGTGGCAGTTGTGACTTTCGTCTACCTCTATCTGACGGTTCGTCTGGCTCAGTGGCGTGCCGACATTCGTCGTGAGATGGTAAACAAATCTCGAGAAGAGGACGCTGTCAAAAACGATTCCATGATTGCATACGAGACAGTTAAATACTTCAATGCCGAGGATTACGAATTTAGCAGATACCGCAATGCCGTTAAAGCTTACCAGAGGGCGGAGTATAGGGTACTCTTATCTCTCAACGTAATGAATGTGTCCCAGAATGTCGTGTTCACTTTAGGATTGTTGGTAGCATGCTTTCTGAGTGCCTATCAAGTTACTCAGGGGCAGATTAAAGTTGGTCGGTTTGTGGCGTTGTTGACGTACCTTGCACAGTTACAAGTGAGAAACCTCGCACCCTAAATGGATATGTTTCGAGGGCTAATTAATCTACTGAAAAGGGTCCGTTGAACTTCTTTGGTACATTCTATCGAAGCATTCAATCTTCTATGATTAACTCAGAGCGCATGCTGGAGCTGGTAGGTTAAAAACCTCCCAATTATGTGACTTAGCACTTGAGTTGACCTTTCTCTTGATAGTTCAAAGAACAGCCAACTGTTGTCGACAAACCGGGAGCCAAGAAATTGGAGTCCTGCCAAGGCGAGATTAGATTCAGAAATACCGGGTTTTCCTATGATGGGCGTAAGCAAGCCCTTAAAGGTCTCGAGTTTGTCGCGA